GGTGGGTGGTGGAAGAAAGGGGTGTATGGAGAGCGGAAGAGATATATTGGGTTTCTATTTTCCGGGGCCTTGTTGACAAGAGGAATTGATGCAATTATTGTTTAATGCTGTATGGCGTTGGCTATGTACAGCATACATGTGAGTGTATGAAAATGAAAATAAAAAATTTGTGATAGAAGATCTGTTGTTGTGAAATCCCATGAAAGACTGTTTGCCGGGACTTTGCTGGAGGAGGAATTCCCTTTCACCTAAATAAAAGAGGTTTTATCGGGACGAGGAGTCAGCTTCATGCTCTTGGGAGGCTTACGTCAGAACACTTAGCTTCATCTGGACTTGACAGCAAAGATCCTTCAGGAAGATTCAGGGGATGCTTTTCCTAAATTACGTTGGTGAGCTTTTACTCTTCAACTTCTTCTTTACTTCTAGGAAACGAAGTGGGAGAGTTGATAGAGTACAATCCTAATTTGCTGGATGACCCGCAGTGGCCGTGTGGGAAACACAAGCGTGTCCTCATCTTTGCATCATACATGGTAAGATGTTTCCCTGCAGATTCTTGACAAGTACAGTAGTCAAGCATTTGTGATGTATTTCCCTGTGTGTCTTATTCACCTGCATGCAGAGAAGCTTGAGTCCTCATTCCCCGGACTGGTTATAAATTACTGTGGGAGAGCAATGAGGGTTATACTATTTTCTACACAATGTATAGGTCCGTGATGGCGAATCTATGGCACGCATGCCACAGGTGGCCCACAGAGCCCTCTCTGCGGGCACATGAGTGGTCGCCCCAGCTCAGCTCCACTGTGCATGTGCACGCCTCCCACTAGCCAGCTGGTTTTTGGGTCGCTGCCAAGCATGCACCATGGTGGGGGGTCCACGCTTGCATGTGGGGAGGGCGTGGCACATGTGGAGGCTTGAGCGGAGGGAGTGTGTGGGGTCACCCGTGCATGCGCGGGGGTGGGGTGCACACGGGGCAGGGGGCACGAGGATGTCACCTGCACATTTCATCATGGCTTTGGGCACGTGACAACAAAAAGGTTAGCCATCCCTGCTATAATTGTTTGTTTGTTTGTTTATTGGATTTATATGCC